ACTATGTTACCCAGTTTCTGGGTCCCAATGGATAAAGGTAGTTTATAAAACAATCTGAAGCGTGGTTTTCAGTGATAGCCTACTCAACATTGGGTTGAACGTCAGGAAATCGAATTAATAAATAACATTCGTTCCCCGACCCTGACAATCTTGCAATTTAAACTGACTTAGAAAAGTTTAGTGCAGAATTTAGTTTTGGCAGTTGATTAAGAAAAAATTCACAGTGCCATGTACAGTTCTTGGAGCTAGCGATAAAATGACATTTTGGCAAAGAAAAGTAACCAAAATTTGATCCATTTATAAGCGCAATCATTGGCTAGTCAACGCCCGCATTTTTATTGGCTTTTTAGCCTGTTTTGTATGTGCAATACACTTCTACCATTACAAATTGGTGTCACCAGGGCTGGTTGTAGTTGTCTTGCAATATCTCGTCTTTTGTCAACAAGTACTCTGGTTTTTCTTGTGAATGTTAGCTAGGAGTAATGGACAAACGTGTCGCACCCGAGTGGAAAATGCCTGTGCCTGAAGTCAAAGTCGATTTGCCCCCTCTCAAGCTGTATAACAGCCTTTCTAATAGTAAAGTAGGTGTTTAATCCTGCAGTACGTCTCTAAAATAACATATAGGTTGCTTTTGTCCCAAAAAGAGGCAAAGATGTCACGTGGTATTGCTGCGGTCCAACCGTTTATGATTCTTCCCACATGGGTCATGCTAGGTGATTGGGATTCATCGATGTTTTATTGGCGCTAGGTCCTACATCTCCTTTGATATAATTCGTCGGGTTCTTGTCGACTATTTTGGTTTCAATGTTAAGTATGTGATGAACATCACAGATATCGATGACAAGGTAGGCTTCTCCATTTTATTTTGTTACTCTGTCGATCAGATAATCAAAAAGGCTCGTCAGAACTACTTAATTGAGAGTTACTTTAAATGTGCGTCATCATTTTCCCAAGTTAAAGAAGACATTCGTGCTGCAGTCAAGGTAAATATTTTAAAACATTATAGACGATTCTTGAAAGGTCTATACTATATTTCATTACTTTTAGTTATTGGAAGCGAAATCAAAGACACATCCGGAACCGGACCAACGGGAATATCTTAAACGTGAAGTTAGTCGTATTCGTACGCTGCTGACAAGCCGAACGTCGGTTATGGGTATGCTCACTGGGGCCCAGGACGCATTGGCTGCATACTTGGATGCTAAACACGGCTCATCAATTTCTGATTATGAAATCTTTGAAGCCCTTCCTCGACGCATGGAGGAGGAATTTCGTGATGACATGCGATCTCTGAATGTTAGTACGAACAATGGTTTCCATAATCCAAGTCCTTCGCTAGTTTCAATGAGATTTTGTATCTGTAGGTCCTTGAAGCCGATAAGTTGACCCGTGTCAGCGAGTATATTGAACCGATCATTGCCTACATTGAAAGAATTATCTACAATGGTTTTGCGTAAGACTGGTGTTAATAATTATTTTTATTAACGGTACATTTGATTTCACTAATAAGGCCTTTGCTCTCTTGAAGATATGCTGTCGAGTCAGGCTCGGTGTACTTTAACACCAAGAAGTTTGCTGAAACTGAGGGACATTTCTACGCGAAACTCGTGCCTACGGCTTACGGGGATGCGGCGAAGTTGGCCTCCGGCGAGGGGGATCTCTCGACCACCGAGGCGGAGAAACGAAACTTTAGCGACTTCGCTCTTTGGAAGGCCTCCAAGCCTGGTGAACCTGCTTGGCCTTCTCCCTGGGGTAGGGGACGTCCTGGCTGGCACATCGAGTGTTCCGTCATGGCCAGCGATACCATCGGCGAGTCTGTGGACATCCACACTGGCGGGGTCGACCTAAAGTTCCCCCATCACGACAACGAACTCGCACAGGCTGAAGTAAGTGATGCGTGAATTTTGCAGAAATATTCTGGTGGTAATCTATCTACAGTGAACACATACGTTTATTAATTTGGGTCTAAATTTCAGTCTCTTGAGCTAAGTTTTAGTTGAGCCTCCTTTTTCTTAGTCGCAGAAAGTACATGCATATATTTGTTGACTGGCATTTTCATAAGTAATTGTTGCTTTTGCGGGCTATATTTCATGACCTTTAAAATGTGCCGGTGGTTGGTCACCATTTGCAAGTTTACGTTCGGTACAATTGTGCAAATTATTTTAAGAGGTGTTTCTGCGATCAAATTTCTAGTGCCTCTGCTTTTAGGCGTACTTTGGGCACTCCCACTGGGTGAGTTACTTCCTGCACGCGGGCCACCTAACCATCAGCGGGTGCAAGATGTCCAAGTCGCTGAAGAACTTCATCACCGTTCGCGACGCCCTCAAGCAGCACTCTGCACGTGAGCTACGCTTTGCCTTCCTTCTCCACAGTTGGCGTGATACCCTTGATTACGGTGTGGACACCATGAATCAGGCCATTGCATTCAACAAGACCATTACCGTAGGTCCTATCTCCTCCTTTTACCACCCTTAACCGTCGGAGAGGGCAGGACATTAGCACGCATGTTGCTTCCTCATTCCTTACAAGTTGCGCCGCAATTTAGACACGTTAAGCGAAGATTTCCAACCTTGCATAGAGGAAAAAAATTAGAACACCTAGGTGAGGTTATGCATTTTTAGGACGTTGTATTCCCTATTTTATAGCAATGAAAGCATGCATCAACAACTACGATTCGTGGTTCATTCCGTATATGGAAATTCTTGTTACTTAAAGCCAATTACCTCTTGTAGAATTCATCCTGAACCTTAGGTAAGGGATAGCTTCTCCGATTGAACATGAACACTTAATTATTTTTGTCAATATTAAAATAAACCGCGTACGCACTTTATCCTATCCCATATAAACATTTTTAGCGGTGATATATCGAGCCGATAAGCATTAGAAACATACTGGACGTGGATTTCGAGTTCATGCTTAGTTTAGGAGCCCTGTCTTCGAGTGTAATCAGCGTTGAAATGACAGTATTCATTTTTAGTAAATCGAGTCAGTTGATATCCTGTCAGTTTTAAGCATCACTCACGCACAGAGTTCGGTGTGTAGACTGTTTCGTCGGTTTGAAAGTCATTTAGCGGCCCAATAAACTCTGGCCTTACGGCCACAACTATATGACCAGGTTGTGGTTATCGTGAAAACGTTGCGCTCAACTTGGGCAATAACTGTGATTACTATGGCTCCTGCTTTTCTCGCCTTCAACAGTATGCTGCTCACTCGTGCTCACTTTTTGGACGGTTGCACAAGAGTTCCTTGCTGATGAAACTCGCAACCGGGCATATAAAGTGCTTCAATAACTTGATTTTGCCGTCGTTAGCAGAGTTGGTGTTTGTTCAAAGATTAAACTTCTAGTGTGCATTAAAAGGCGCTAAACATTGCTTCTTAAAGGACTTCCTTTTCAACGTCTCACACACCTTGCGGTTACTTTCCTCGAGCAAATATGCAACCACCATGGATCTCCCCGACAACCAGGACCTCTCAAATGCTCTATCCACAGCCGAGAAGGAAGTCTTCGAGGCTTTGTGCGGTAGGACTGTTTTGCATACCTCGCTACGTATATGTTAGGCATGACGTTTTGTGATATTTACGCTTCCTTAGTGTAACTGGATTTTATTTTATACATCGGTATTCTTCCGTTTGTGAAAGACACTTATGAGTAAAATAAAATGCGAGATTATTCGCGACAGCGCTTTTTGGAATATCAGTGATAACATATTTCAGTCGCCTTTAAGCTATCCAAAAATGCAATCTTGTGTTTACTGCCTTTATGTTTCAAATATCATCTTATTTTGCCAGTATATTAGAATGTAGTACCATTTTTTAATTCTAGGAAGTGGTCATTCCGTAACATTTTTTTTGGGGTAAAGTTACTTGAATAATTACAGCAGTTAATTGTGGAAGAATTATGCAAAAGGGGTGTAAATTTTTTTCACGTAAGGTTTTCGAGCTTCACTCTCCAATTCAATGGCGCAAAAGCGTTTGCTCTATCCTTGGGAGCATTCGGAAAAGTTTTTTCATATTGAATCCTGTGGGTAAATATGAATCAAATAGAGACCAGAGCCAAGTGCAAATGCATTTACTAGCAGGAATTGGTTTCCAGACTCCATCGATACAAAGCGTGCGATGTTGGCGATTCGGGAGTTGATAAACGCCTCCAACCAGGTGGAGTGCGCGCAGCCCCTGGTCTCAGGCTCGATGCACCTGCTACCGCGAGCACAACAGTGCTACGCTCTCGCCGCTTTCATCCTCCGCCTGCTGTGTGTCTTCGGTGCTGCTGATCGTACCGCCCTGGCCGACGCCTGGGTCGCTTCCTACCACTCTTCTCCTTCCGTCAACGGCAACCCCTGGCCTATTTCACGCGACTACGTTGTCAAGGCGGCCAGCAAACCTTTATGGGTCTCCATGGTTGCACCCAAGAAGGAGACTCTCGCGGCAGCCTTCCATGGCACTGCGCTTGCTTGCAAGCAGTTCGTTCGTGAGGTACATGACGTGGCTTCAAATGGTTAGTTTCCTCCTCCTCACCCTAAAAATGAGTATTTTGGTATTTTGTTCGGTATGAGCTACAGCGGTCTCTAGAAGAGAGTTTCTTCAATGGTTCTCCATTGTATGTTACCGTTGGAGCAATTTGTCATGTAGCTATTTTTTAACACTTATTCAAAACACTTTGGTACACTTTTAAATAAACTTTATAGTTCATAAAATAGTCTTGTAACGGGTTCACCATTTCTCCCTTCCATCTGCTTTTCTATCCTTGGAATGAAAAGGTTGATTAGAGTAGAACACACTTTATTTGAGAAGCATTGTGAAGCCTCAAGGGGACCGGAATTCGTTTTCACCTCAGAGGTCACTGGCGTCCGCTCAGGTACTTGATTGGCATGTGCTGACCGCTTCTCACCTAAAAGATGCATTCGTAAAAACGCGTACTACAGTATTATTTCAAATTGATTAGGGTATTGTTAACCTCATCTTATGTGCGTTAGGGTAAATGCTTAAAAGTCGTAGGAATACTTGAACTATAGTCGTGTCAGTTTATCTCAGGCGTTTCTTGATTCAATATCAGGAAACAAGCACTATGATTGTGGGAGCAGGTACCACCATTTATGTTTGGGTCCTGCATCACATCTGCACTAACCCAACTAGGTGGTAGCATGATTACTGAATTAACTTTGTGTTATTGAAGTAGTTTTGCCACATCGCATCTGCGCAATGCTGGCAATAATATTTGTGTTTTCCTCTTTAGCCAGGGACGTGGCTGCTCTTCTGTCAAACTTCGAAACTACTTTGAAGAGGGATTTCAACTTGGATTTGAATAATATGTCAAATGATGCCAATGGTAAGTTTTATTTTTCTCAGAGAAAGCTAAATGCTTAAAGGGTTGTTCCATGCCTTTTAAAATTTAACACTATTTTGCATAAACTAGAAGGCTCTCAACTGTTATATCGCAATTCTTTATTCCTTAGCTTGACTTTATTATGTCAAACACGGCATACATTCTAAACAGTTGGCATATCCAATGTCTATATTTCTTCCACGCTTTTAATATTATTGAGAGAGACTGCTTGTTTAGTCTGTGCGCGACCATCGAGTAGAGCGAGTTTCTTTTTGCTCTCCGTTGACCCCATGGGGGTTAGTGTGCACTAATGATACTGCTAGCTCTGCGCAGTCTTCAGAGCTTGTAATTTCAGTGTCCTTTTGTCGGTATGCCTTCTGGTAACCACTCACCCACTTGTTCGGGTACCTACCTGATCAGTTGATTGCTTTTTGGAGTACAACTACCCTTCCAGTGAATCTGTCCATTGTCTTACGCATGGGCAGCGGCGTCCAAGCTCAGCTTACAGCCTTTCCCAATATTTGTGTAGAATTGTATCCATGATGGAGGCAGATCTGTGAACGTTTGCAGCTTTTAATCCTCTTTCTGACACTCGTAATTGATTAAACCACAAATCTCTCAACATTCTGCCACTCAACATGATTTTCCAGTACGTCAGTCAGTTACTTTAATACTTTAATTTTAGCCGCTTCACCGTATTGAGCTATAGGCAAAGTACAACAGTTCATCTCATGTGAAGATCCCTCATTGTTCGGTTCTTCGCCTAGCGACAATTCCCTAAACTAACTTGCTTTTTGATCTGACAGTAAAAAATGAGTAGGATAAAAGTCGACAACTCGTTAATTTACGAATCAATCACTCTTTGGTTCACTCCGCTTTGTATTCACAATATTTGAAACCACTTTCTTTGTCTTTTATGGATGGATTCTCCCCTTCACCCAGTCAAACTAGAGAAGTCGGCTTTTCGCTTTGTGGTTGAGTGTGGGAGACATTTACCAGTAAAATTTTTATTTGGGTAAAGCAACAGATAGAGGTTAACTCGATTTTTCCCCAGCATGTTTATAACTACTTCCACTGTTTTCAGTGATCAGTAGTTGTTACTATGGCCGTCTGACTCCTAAGGCTGATACTTTCAAGGTGCACCAGGATTGGTCCATTTGCCTCCCACTATTTCTTTCGAAAATTCACATGTCTGATGAAATTGTGGACCATTTTTGCACAAAGTAAACGATAGTTTATGCTCTTTTACGCATTGATAGTGCATTTCTGACAGCTACGCTCATACCGTTCTGACTGTCTCTATGGTTTACCGTCCTTTTACAGTTAAAGTGCCTTTGTCGTAACTTGCTTCTCGAGTCAAGGTTCCGTGTGCATTGAGTTTCCTCTGAAATGCTTCTAACTGTCATGTATTTTGTGCAATGGACCGCTTTGTAATCAATTTTTAGTAGTGGGCTGTGCGGTTGCTTAAACGAGCAATGCGGTACTTCAAGCGGTTTCAAAAGCTAATTGACAGGAACCCTCTTGCCTGTGTGACCACTTTGTGTTCGGCTTTTGGTGTGGTGGAATGTCCGGGATCCCATTCGAGCTCTCCCATTTTTGTTTCCGGTTCTTGCTGAGTCACATACAAGAATCTTCGCCCTGTTGTAAGTCTTGTCGCTCACTGGTGTAGTTGGCATAAATACACTGGCTATCTCCTAGGGTAAACTTATTGTCTTTACTTTTGCATTTATCACAAAGTGATCACGAATGTTACTAGGAATGCCAAAAGACAGTCGCCCTGCACTTAATGAGTAGCTCCACTTCGTGGTCGGTTAACTGAGCCCTTTGTTAAAGAATAGTTTACTCCCCTTGTTCCTAGGATTAGCTGGGATTCCTAGTATTTCAGTCGTTTAAGCTAATGTGCGTAGCAAACTATATTGAATACTCTTTATTTTCGTTCACATCACTACATTGCATTGTTCAAAGGTAGTTTTGTTTTCACTATCAGGCCTTTTTACGTGATCTAGTTGTGGCTCATTCCGAGTTTTCTAATCCTATTTAATGAGCGTATGTGACCTCTGTTAATCCCTCATGTTTGCCATTCCCAATGGGTTCCATTATCTACAGATGTAAGAGGCAGTGGTTTTAAAAACACGGATTTGACAGACTTTCTTTATACAGACTTTAGGAAAGCGATTATGTTGACTCTCGAGTTCATTTGCTTTATTCTTGTGCTTCTCCACCTCTTCGATGTTATCTGGAACCAGCGCCTGTAATACAGGCAACTTCTTGATGCACGAATTCGTCTTAAGGTAGAGGCTTTTACCACTATCCGTTTTACTCCCCCTAGTTCTTGTTCCTTTTGTAGTTCTTCACATCACTTTTGATTGATTTCTAACGAATAGTTGTGATTCATGTTTTATGCCTTTTAGTAGTTTAAAAATGCGAAGCTAGCTGGCATAAGGGTAATTAACTTAAGTACGTTTGTGTAAGCTGAATGTGTGAACTACTTGACTGGAAACCCCTATCCATTAAATATGCGCACTTACAGCGGTGTTTGACACGGCCCTGAAGCAGGCGCTGGGCGAATGCGCGACGTTGAAGCGCGTGCAAATGGGCGAAGTGGAGGCACTAGAGACGGAGGCTTGGCCAGTGGTAGCACGGCTGCTTTATGCCACGGCAGATCTGCGCCAAGGGGTACGCCTCCTCGCTCAGTCAGGGGGTCCGCTGAAGGTGCAGCTGCTGACAACTTGCGACCGCCTTCGCGATGACTACCTCCCTGTCCACGGCATCCGTTTGCAGGACCGAGCTGACATCGCCACCGACAAAGCCGATCTCCCTGCCATCGGCCTCGTCGAGGCAAAACTTCTCACCACTGAGAGGCGTGAAAAGGCCGAGGTATGTCACATCCTTCCAGTGTCCACTTCCTTCCATCGCTACTTATTTATTTTAGTAAGCGTATGCTTCACCGGCTCAAGGTATGCGCTTCCTCACTTATTTTAACGGTTCAATTAGGTTTAACGTGGGTTAGTGTTGTTATGGCTTCTGCCAAATTGGTATGCGCGTCACAATTATAGACGGGATCAAGCAAACAGCAGACATTGGATCCTACTTCTACTGTAAAACCAGTTTCGCAGTTGGAAGGTGGAATCCTTGCATGGAGTCTTCCATGACGATGTTAATAAGCGTTTTTGAGCGTCACCAGACGATCAAGAGACACAGGGAATCCATAGATGAGTTTCTTTTGGCTAATCATGTATCTCAGTTTGTCATTCAATAAGTAGAGGGCTTTATTTTACAATCGGTTCTTGTTGATGGTTGTGAGAAGAGCATTTGGAACTGGAATGTGCCAGTCTTCGAATGGTTTCGGGAACCCCCACTTTTAAAGTATTTACGCATACATCTTCTCGGAACAACCAGTTTCTGCTAAAGGTGTTTGGAAAAGTTATTTGACGTTCCATATTCTAAACTGGTTCGACAATAAAGTGAATGGTGTCCTGTAGCTAAAAAGAGACAAAATACCTATTATAGTCTAAGTTAAGGCTGTGCCGACTACTTCATGCCACATTATTGTGCATGGTGAATGCGTGCTGAATGGTTCATGCCCCTTCGCTTGACATCACAGCTTTATGATCAAAGCTTTAAGCTAGCCGATAGAATTTGCGAACGCGTTGAATCGTCTTCGGGATAGTGCTGCAAATTTGGTGTAATCACGATTCGGCTGTATTTAGGTCACATTATTAGGGGCGATTGCTTGTATTGTGTTAGTACAATTGGTCTTGTTGTACTTTTGTTTGTAGAGGGCCGCGGAAAAGGCGGCTGCGAAAGCCATACGGTTGCTGGCCAAAATGGAGGCGGGGAAACAACCACCCTCAGAGATGTTCCGAAGTCAAATCGACAAGTTTTCCGCCTTTGATGAAAAGGTCTGTTGTCTCAGCTTTCCCCATCTAATTTTCAAAATAGATGGGCAATCACTTTATTTAATTTAATATCCCAACAGAAACACCCTACACCTGCTCTTGAATTTCCCATTTTCCCAGTGAACTCTCCATCACTTACGCAGTTAAAATGTCTTGCTACTGTGTCGCTATCGGCGTACGCACATTCATATGTGCGTAAGTGTGATTCTGAGGTTGGAAAATGTCTTTCACAGATGTCTGATGTATGTGTAGAAAAATTAGCTTGTACTGACCCAATCTAATTCAATGTCACAATTTCCATTGACTGCACCACCACGTTTGCTGTGACATCTGCCCAGGTAGTCAGGATTAAACTGTCGTCAAATTTGTTTTCTATTGCCAAAATTCAGTTTGATGTTTGTGCATTTTTCACAGCAAATTTATGACATGATTATGCGTTATAAATCAGCGGTGTTACCGTCTTTATTGGTAGTTGATGAAGCCTTTTAAGCCTCTGACATTTCACTGTAATATAAAAGTGAACTACTTCAATTCGCTTCGATTCATTCAAACAAAATGCCTGATTTGGACTCGAGCTCTAAATAACTTTCCCTGAAAATCTTCATTAATGTCCCTCTGTGTGTATTTCTACTCTAGATTTAGTTGTCTATACTGAAGGCACGTTGCATAAGTAAGTTGCCTTTTGTAAGGCAAACTTTTTACACAACAGTTGAAGTTCTTTTTAATTATTTTGATGACGCTTATCCTTACCACTTATATTCGTTCTTATAAACGGAGATGGTTTGAGAGAAAGTTCAGGATTACTGCCTACGGTGAATACTGCAATTATCTCTCATACCAGATACTTTTGGTGTCTCCTCTATTGTATTCCCATCTATTTCCATCCGAAAACGAATGAGTTGCTTATCGTATTTCTTTTTACATTCAAGAATATGCCCTAGCCCGACATCTTATTCTGCTCGTACAATTCTCAAGCATTCCAGTAAACTATCATAAACTCCGTAACCACATTATTTGACCCCTTTGTGGTGTCCATATATTGATCACGGATGCAACAATGTATCATTGAGCGAATCTCGTCTCGCTGCCAATTCTAGTGTCAGTAGTGTGATCAAACTTGATAATTTTGGCTCCCTTCCCCGGTTCCTCCAATCGATACCTTCACGAGAGTATTTTTGGGTATTTTAGGGCATGCCAACGCATGACGCGACAGGGAAGGAGATTTCAAAGAGCCAGTTGAAGAAGTTGCAGAAGATGTACGACGCTCAGGCTAAACGCCACGAGGACTATCTAGCCAGTCTTGACTCATAGTGCCGAAGGTGTCGAGGCCAGGAAAGCACGCCCACACTTTTTCGTTTCTCCAGGTTTAAGGTGCTGAAGTTAATCTTCTCGCCTCACGGCTTCGTGTCGTCTTAGTTACTAATCGGGCGAATTGTGTGAGCTGGGTTAGATCAATTTATGCGCTACTTAATGGCCAAAAGGTCCATGCTTAGGTGTTATTACTGCAACAGTGAATGGTTGATAGCATGCATTTTCTTGATTCGGGTTGAAAAGATCCTATTATTGAAATACCCTGTAAGTGAAGGTACTCACTACTTTTTGCCACCGGAGACTTGTTTTTTGGAGGTGTATGTATGCGAAAGAGTGACCTCCCAAGTGTTACAGTTCTCGGGGGGGGTGGGGGTGTCTCCATCTTGCACTGCCCTCCTTAGCTTTTGAGCGGTTGTCTCGAGTTATCAAGACACGAAGGCAAGGCGCCCATAGCTGTCTTAATTATGCCGACATGCTACAACTCGAGTTCGGCCGCCCGGAGTGCAGGCGACGTCATCAAAACTGCGACATTTCTCATGGCCCCCAACCCATTCCCATTTGGCATCATGTGTGCGCGCCAGCGCTAATTTCGAAGACCATGGCCTCACTGGTGGCCGGTACGGCCAGGTGAGTCGGTCATGGCGCTGAGGGCCACCAACGTAGCAGTCGCTCAAACCACATTTATTTGCCACCGTGTTCTTTGCACATGGCGGCTACAGGAGTATCAGCAGCGGAAGAAGCAAGCTCTGTGGTTTATCCCTAGGGTAGAACCCTATAGGAAGGAAAAATCTGCAGGTTATGGCCTGGGAATCTGTGCTTTAGAATGCGAGGTCCCGTGCTTGCATAAAATCAATTTGAACATTAGGCACCAGCTCTAGAAGTCCTGTATACAAACTGGGTCCGGTTAAATTGGTGAAGGCGGGGTTTTTGACCGTCCTGACCACTTAGAACGTTATAATTCACTGGGAGACTGCTGCACTTTCACCGGGGGTAGCATGTTTTGTATGCGTTGCTCTGTTTGAGTTTAAGCATTGCAAGATAATGGGCAATTTTATGAAACGGAACATGTACTTTCATTTACCAATCAACTTTCTATTTACTAATTTCTGGGCTATGTGATCATTTAATTATACGGGCTGTATCCAAAACTGGGAAGCCTTATTTGAGTCAGGTCGGTGTTTTGCTGAGCCATCGATATGCTTGATGAAAGGTAGCCACGGCCTCCGCTAGGTCGTCGTGTTGAAGTGGGTCCGTGACATTGCGAAGCAGAGTGAAATATTTTAATCATTAAGAGGAGGTAAGAGTGCACTCCATCGAATTGGAAGTGTTCTATAGTGAGACAAGCACTCCTGGACGGGCTCTCAAGAATGGGGTTCTATGAGTAGGCGTGAGGGTAGGAGGGAGAAGATAAACCAGAGTAGTTCCCATAATGTGGAAGGGGATCATGTGATCGGCCTCCTGACTAAAGGTCGCCACGGTGCCTTCCCCCTCACCAGTGGGACCACCCGCGGACGCACATCCGACCGCACTGGGAGCGGATGCCATAAATAGCTCGCCTTTGCGTCCATTCCTTCCTTCTTCATGGGTGGCTAAACACGGTATTAAATCGGTCTTGGGGAGGGGATTGATGGATTCCTGCCTTTATTACTCCCTAGTAAATAACTCTCAGAAATCGTGCATCAAGTGGGAATGAGCTATGTGGGGACGCCTAGTCGTTGTGGTTATTCTGCTTTCGCCGGTGCTTTTCCGACGAAGTATGGGAACCTGGGTTTTTTCCCTCCTCATAGGGTGGTTTATAAGCGATTATGTTCATAAGGTTGAAATCTCACTACGGAACGGCTCCGCTTGAGTTGGTTGAATTAGTACTGTTCGAGCGACTGCGTATGGACGCTGTCAAGCTTCCAATAAACTGAATAAATTGCTGCGGTCAGTTATGCTCAGGCCTTGGTGGATAAACTTTGGATCAGCCAGGATGATTCAATGCTTTCAGCGCATTGCTGTTCGCAGCACACCTAAAACTCAGGCCTATTTGAATGATTAGCTTATCGCTTGAAGTAGCATTGGATTGCTGAAATCGTGGTGCCTTATACCAAAGCGTGGAAGATTTTGACGGTACCTAGTTGCTTCGGTCTATCGGTTTCTTTCTAATATAAAGTTTGTCTAGTTTTGGGTGCCATTCCCTTCAGAACTTAAATAATCTCGGGCGTTTAAATGCCTTAAAATATTTTAAGTGGGATTGTCCCTTAAGTGTTTGAACAGATTTTCGGTGAGCACTTGCCTACTGAGTTAGTTTCCAAGTTGCTCTTTTGACTGCTCGTATTGTATGTCAATGAAATTGGTAGCACAGTGAATGTCTTCATGTTTTAAAAGGCAGTGGTCAGTTTTTCCCATGATTGCAATTGGCCCGAGTTTACTCTAGACTCAATTCCAGTGACATGTTCCTCAGAAAAAAACTTAGCTCATCAATTAATCATTTAATGCACCTGGAGCCGAATCGAGATCACTTCTTTAGCAGGGTACTTTCCTGATTGACAAAGACCCGATGGATGCCTTCAATCAAATGCCACGCGTTGGTGAGAGGACGTTGAGTACTAATTGTGTAATATCGCATCTCAATGCGGCCACATTTCTAGGACTTTATTGTTCTACCTAATAGACTGCACCGAAGATCGGAAAACTGGTTCCTTATTGCTGGCATCTAGGCGACATATCGAAAGTAGCATCACCTGCCGGGTATTGCACTAAGCTATACTAAGGTAGTGGAATGTAAAAGAATGGTTCAGCATGAAATTATGGAGGAGCTGAGGCGCAGCTATCATGTTCTTTTACCAAGAAGGAGGTCCAGGTTGCGAGAACTGAAGGGATTGCATAGCCAAACAATATTACTTCACAACACAGCCTCGTCTTTCTTTTGGGCATCATTATCTGTGCTGCTAGTGTTCACTCTTCTTCGGTTGTAAGGAGACGCTCGAATGGATTTCCTATATGGTGTTAATATGGTGGGGGTTCCTGAATATAGAGTACTCAGCAAGGTAAACCAAATTGGAGAAGATTTCATGAGGAGGATCGGGATAAAATTTAGATATTTTGTGGCGGGCATATACTGAGGGCCCATTCTCCTTGATAATAGGATTTGTCCAAAACTAGCGTGAGGCAAGGTGATATCATGGTGTCTGCTACACAAATAGTTGGAGTCCGAAACGAATTGTAAGCCTTTCTTTAATACTGATTTCGATCTGTTGGAAACTGGTCTCACTCGTATGGGAAACTCAAAACGAAGACTTACCTACCCGCAGCAGATGTCTCTTTTGTTTACCATCATGTTTATTAACTGGAGTAATTGTTCGATTGAATCGGGTTTGCTTACCTCTGCCACAAATGTATCACCTCAATTCTTTCCTGAAACCGTAATAAGGTACAGCGGTGTCGAAACACAGTTTATTATAAGTGTAATGAAGGTAGCGATTCAGTCTTGGCGAAAATAAATGAAAAAACGGAGTAAAAGGCGGAATTAAATTCTTGTGTTCTGTTTATCACTCGACCAATTGAAAAGGCGACCAGTAAATGGGTGCATCCTTAAAAATGCAGTTGCAGCCTGTTTTTGGCTGGCCAATTTACACCAAAGTTTTGGAGGCCTTATACTATTGTCTAGAAAAATAGTGTGCAGGGTCCCAAAAACTGTATCTGAAGTCATTTCTGCATCAAACAAAGTTCTTCTTGGAGGAACTTATAAACTCAATCAGACTAAAATTGGCTTTCAACTCTTCAGGAATTCTTTAAAGCACTTTTATAGATCACTGTTAGGGTTCATGACATTGTTCTTTAGTTTGAATAGACGTAAAATGATGCCTTCAGCCTAAACAAGAGCAAATTTGTGCTTTTGAGGTTTTTAACCCGTAATTCATTTAGCTCGTTAATACCCATTCTAGTTTAAGAAGTAAACACGATATGTTCGTAGGTACCTTCCGCTCCTGTGTTTGTTGTGGCATTTACTGGATTGAAGGTAATCAATGGAAGAAAATAGGTCATCTAATGACTTTTTCTTGAGCTTTGCTATCCCTGAAATGGCAGGGGGTGAATCTTTCCGTTCGCTCAACCACTGTATGATCACTGCTTTGAGTCTATTACTGTCACAGAGCAAAAGTCAGTAAACTGATCTGCATATAGGCGGAAGAATCGAAAAATTTCTGGTATTTGGAGGATATGTTAAAAAAATAATGAAGTACTTGTGTACATCATGGAGCATTGGAAGAAATTTCACTACGTCGTCTTTCCCTTGTTTGTCAGACCTCGACAATATAACTGAAATCGTAAGACACTAAGAAAACATTGTGTGATATGCTTCGACATCTTTGAAATTACAAGGCAGTCCGACTAGCAATTTGATTTGAAATCTACTCTTTGCACATCCGATTGAGAGGGTAGGGTGACTCTTTCAGTCAAGATTGTATGAATTGTATTCAACAGACCCTCGCACTAGGCAGGCGACTGACAACGGAGTGATGCGTTGATCGACGCTACTTGAATTGGATGCTTTAGGCCCGAGTGGAGCGCTGTTAATGCCAGCCTGGCCGGGACGGACCGGAATCAGCAGTACGACAGTCGATGCTGAAACCGGCCCCTAGACCACCCACAGGGGGTGTAAGCGACCCACCAGCTGTCCCCCACAGAACCCTTCTGCAGCCCACCACAGCTGATAACCCCTCGGTAGACAGATTTCATTGTCGTGTTTACTATGATTTTGGCAGTCTTTACTGTGCGTATGCGTATTGTCATTCAAGCGGTTGACTTGACTTCATGTAGTTTTCTTTTATTGGGATCTTCGTTAAATGGGTTAAAGGGGTAGGTGAAGAGAATGTTACTTCCCCCAGGCAAATTTGCACCGTTTCAAGTCAAATTCTTTTATTGCTAAAGGTATCACTGATGCGTGGAAGTGACATGGTGGGGGGGAGGGGGAGGGGGTGAGTAATCTTCAAAAAGAGGTACCACCTTTTCACACAAGATTATTGAATAACTTGGAGAAAATAGGGAGTATGTGTATTAATGAAAATCTAATTGGCCTACTTTTTTAAAAAGTAAAATGAGAGGAAATAAAGGCATATAAAGTAGCCGTACAACTGCAGATAAGTCGGGTGAAATCCGGTTTTGGGTAAAACTGAATTAATTGTGGTTTTTCCACTTTGTGTTCATTCACTATGACACCAAGCTGTCCAATTGAAGCATTTATTGCCTATAAACTGGGGAATACTGGTCATGATCTAAGAGACCAGTTCTGAAAACGTAATAGAAAACATCCCCCATTGGTAGCAGATAACATGATTATTTTGTCATATCTGTTTGGATAAATGAGATACACTAAATCAACAACTAATCGTGGTTGTTATAACATTTATTCAGACCAGTGGAAATGCTACAGATTAGGACGATTCTCATGGCCTGAATGTTGGGCTAAGCTGTTTTAAGGTAACCACCGAAACCTATTGTAAAAGTCAGCATCTTCCTTTACAACGCATACTTGGAAAAGGAGCTACTGGACTAGTGTCTTCACGTGAAGCAGAGCAATGCCTAACACCGAACCTGCCAACAAGTACAAAAATCTTACATGTCTTTATTTATTTACAGTCAAGGCAGCAGTTGGCGGGACCAGAACAGTGTGGAGAGGGGAGAAAAGTCCAACAACAGGTCCTTTGACCACCAACGTTGATGACTCCTGTTCGACGCGAGACGGCTAGACACACACTGGCTCGGGCGGGTATCGGCGCTTCCTCCTTCTCCACCTCAGCCCACCCGAACGCTCACGGGTGGTCTCGTTGTATCAATTAATTTTATGACGGACTTGTGGAGGCAGCAGCTTAGACGATGCAGTTAAGGCAGTAGAACTAGACGAGGGACAATGAACCCCCTGATTTCGATTGTTGCATTTGGTTGTGTTGTCAGGATCACAAGTATACATGAATGTGAATCTTTCATATGTAAAATGGCTATTTAAAAAAACGATGAAATTTGGTAGCCGATTTGGCTTTAATTTCATGATGCCTGAATGTGTTGCTGCACTTGATCGGTGACGTGAATAGACTAGCATTCATAACTCGATAAATGTTTTTTAGGGATAAAATTTTTAGACCCAAACACATTTTAATCAAAACAGTTTTAACTTCGTTAAGATAAAAAAAGTGTCTTATGCTTTCTGATTCACCTTTAATCACCCGAAATCCATTTACGCGACCAATGCCGTGAAGCAAATTGACCGTAGATGGTGGTCACCTTGAGTATGCCAGTCAAAGCAAGTCATGATAATAAAATTTACTGACTTAGCGCCCTGAGTAATTGCATGCAGAAGGCATTATTTTATTTGCTTTAAGCTGTTTCACCGACATAGGACATTGCTAACGCACTGGGCTCCTGTCAACTGCCATGCTAATAGAAGTCCAACGCTCACGCAGATAATCAGGTAGTGTGAATAGCCAAACACAGATGCGCATGTTACTTAACGAGTTGGGCCCCGCGCGAGAGGCCACTCTCGTGTTAGGTGGTATTTGGTCGTGATTGCATAACACATGGACATGTCTAATGGTGTGCGAACCGTAAATTACTAGCACTTCTCTGCCCCGCCGCATACTTCTTCCTCTTCTATAACATTTTACACCTGCGTGTCTGTGCATGTTGTCCTCTTGTCGACACTGGACCATCTGGGTGGTCGCTGCTGGCGGAGCAAAGGTCAGGGGTCTGCCACCGTCAGCCTCACACTCCTCCTCCCCCTCCTCTTGCACGTGCACCCCACCTTGTTTGTTTGCTGCTATCAGTGCCGTGCAGCAGCGCCGATGGTGTGCTGCACCCATCGTCCCGCCCCCCTTTCTCTGACTCCGCCTCCGCCCCCTCCCATCCTCTTCCCCACCACGCTACATAGCAGACGGGACCTCACAAGTCGTAGGAAATGTCATCAAGTCAGGCCATTCAAATCTACCCTTACCACCTGTCTCCTACGCGCTGTTCGTGTGCGCATTCCGGACGAATTTTTCTAAATTTAACTAATATTTACCAAGATAATCAAACCATGAAGCGCCACAGTTTGCCCACTGACGTATCATGTGAGAAGAAATCGGCTTTTTTACGGGTTCCATTTCGTGCGACTGTTGAGAGTCGAGTCCTTCCTTTCTGTTCTCCCCTTTGATCACAAGCAAACTGCTACTCCTAAGCAAATACTCAGATAGCATTTATGGTGTTGCAGTAGTGGGTGAAAAATAGTGCTTGTGAAATTTGCACTTCGGACGGAGAGCAATATGTGCGGTCTAATGGCTTACATCAGGCCCTCAATAAAAACAATAAGCCCTTCCACTAACCTGGAAGTTACAAGAATGAGTTTCGACATCTCCAGTGTTGCTAACATGAAAGGCAACGAATTGATTTGTGCGTCCCACGTGAACAAGTAAATGGTCGACAGGTGTCAAATTTTTTTTATTAATTTCATTAATTTAGATTTTCCAATCTTTTCCAATTACACTTGTGAATGATTAACTGATATTCAAATCCTGGCGCTTCGGTTACTTTTACAGTTTTCAAGGCAACATAGTAAATACTCTTAAAATACTGGACATTATATAATTTTTTCAAACATTAGTCACCGATTAAGAAAGTATTTTTTGGAGGAAGATCTCTAGTTGTTTACGCCTGCCTCATAAGCACTAAGAGGGATAACTGGCTAAGTGAATTCCCAGGAATTTTATCGTGCCCAAATTACGGTTGGAGATCCTTATAATAACCAAACACTTTACTATGTTGTAAACAACTCAGAAGTTTGTAGCTGCCGAGAGACATTTCAGCAGGCGGGTCAAGCCCTGAGAATCTATCTTAAACTGTACCCAAACGAAGAAAACCAGTATTCATGGTTGTGTTGAAGAGTCTCAGGAAAACCTGTAGGATTTCGACTAATGATATTAACGACAGATTAGCTGTTCTACCAACAAAGTTAACAGCCATAGCTGCAGGTTACACAATACAGTCCTGCAAGTACGTCCATAAAGCATGATTAGGAGTCATAAATCAAGTGGGATCTCTAATGGCATATTTGCACAACAGAGACCCACCTGAAGGTACAGATGAGTGACAAATGTGGCTACACACCTGTAAGTAGATCGCATGTCCCTCCATAAGTCATGCCCGCACTGCGATGCGATGTTTCTCTCGTAGATAATCTACTTCCCATAGAACAACACTGGAACGGCAATATAACCCTGCACCTCGGCGGGTGTGGCAGAAATAGTGCTACCTAATTAAAAAACAGAAACATCGAAGAAGTTTCACACCTTCTCCTTTTTATGAACTACCACGAAAGGTGGCATTTAAGTACTCTTTCTTGACCAAAGAGTTGATCTGATGAATGACGTATGCTACAATCCTCACTAGATTGCTGCCAAATCAACAGTTTAATCAATGCAATGCCGGTAATACTTTTTTTGCCCATCAAAATTACCAAAATATTCCAGCGAAGCAGAGACTTGTGTGAATATTCACAAACAACCGTTCACTGGTATATCGTTCTTTGACCACCCACCAAGCAGCAAGGAAGCGAAGTCCCAGAAATACCATTATAAAATGTCTTCCTCCTACGAAACATCACCTTGGTGGAGTAATGAATGCTGACTTTGTCAATAAGGAGGAAATTTAATAAATTGATACAATTCTAATAACGCCTTATGGCCAGTCAGTAGGAAGGGCGTGAGAAAACGAGCCGATCAGTGCAGTCGTCGATGGTTGGGGTGTCGCAGTTATTGCTACGTCGGAGCCGTCGGTGCTCACACATGCACACGGGTGTATGGAATACAATGAAAGAGGAATATCCACTTTTTGTTGAAGTAATTAAGGGCCGTTAGACGGTACAAATAGCCCAATTACCAACTAGTCTTTTGCTAGCTGAAAATTGAACGGTACTTCAATTCAGTTAACAACTTCACTACTTCAATGAAGTCGTGAGGTGTGCGAAATCTATACCCTTATATATCCCGTAGCTTCACTGCAATATGTTACAAATGTTGAGCAACTGCAAAATTCCTGAGCCACTGGCATGAACTCAGTAGCATCTGACATCACCAATGCAAGCATATATTGCGACGATCCTGCCTAAAAACTTTCGTCACGACGAGGAATAAAATCAACATTATGACCATTCCAACATCGACTGAAAATGCATTCACTTAGATTAAAAAACAGGTCGCTTGCAAAACCGCCGACATTCATCGAGCAAAGTTGCACAAACCTTTGTATATTTGCATGGAAATAGTTAGATTTGATCAGATGTAGCAATTACATTTCCGTAGTAAGTAGTTCGGCACCCTAACAATTATAAGACGTGATTGAAAAGGATGAGAAAGATTTTGCTGAAACTCATGATCTGAAGCAATTCATCTTACTCAATTTTTTACTTCTCCATTCTAATGTTATGGTGTTCTCTCGGTGCTTTCATATCGCCAAAATGTGTTTGAAGGACGCTTTGATGCACTGCTTGATGGACTCGAACCAAGTTTCCGTCTACTGGTACCCACAAAGTATATCAAGAGGGGCTCATTCGATACGTTGTCTCATCATTTCTAAGGCTGTTGCTTATTAAAAGTGCCTGTTTGGAAAGAAGTGCCTATTTTGTGTGCTAATAAATAAAGTATATTTTCACTCATACATCGGAAACTACTTTAAGTAGTCGATGTGACAACAGTAAATCTCGCATTTTACTATATTCTCCCACTTTTGTGGTAAAGACCACAAACATGGATCTTGGTTTTACATATTGTATCATGAGTTGACCTAAAATACAGTTGCCTTTCTTTGCCCAAAAATGTCAGCGGCCCCATCCATTTTCAACGCAGAATGGACAAGTAGTTAGAATTTGCAGCGATTGTGCAACTGAAATACTTGCACGCCAGGGAATCACAATGATGGGCTCACTCATCGGACATCAGACAACTTCTGTGCGGCAGTTAAACATACTACTTGTTTCTGTAGCCCAGTGGTTAGCATCACTTGTACAGGGTTAAATTTAACAGTCTAAAGTGGCAGTCACCAGAGTGGCTCGTCGACTGAATCCCTACACCAGTCAGTGAGAGCACCTTGCAATAGGGTTGACGCAACATTTTCCTAGATAGGATGGGCTTACTGCAGTACCTTAATTGTGGCAGTACTTTTTCTTAAAAATTTTCATAATCCTTGAAGATAGCTTTTTTGTAAAGTTGCATTGTCCAATCAGACTCACAGCAAGACATTCGAAAACCTAGCAGTATTTACATTTGAACAACCATTCTGAACATGGTTTTGCCGGTATATTAATGTGCTCCCAGAATGAAGTGTACATAAATAATAACACAAAGTAGGCTACAACTTCCACAACTCCAATCATGCTGAATTCGAAGAAAAAACGTCATGGAATAGATTTTAGTAAAATCCTAATTCCCATCATCGCGTTGCATATTAAGAACGAGATAAATATTTTTAAAGTCAAAAAGTGAGCTGCAACACATCGGCACGTTCCCGTGGAAGGTGGGAGGTCAATCAACAGAAGGAAACACTTACGCTGCAGGCTGGTAATGAATTGGGGCCGTAACTCCCGTCAATGCGTGGTAAGTTGGATGCTGCTTTTTCTCTTGAACAAAGCAAAGTAGGGAAAATTTACAAAATCTTTACCCTCATATTGCAGTTCGTAGCATAACTTCAACCCCAAAACGGTGACTGCTGAATGACAATGGTTGTTTAGAGTTCCATTAGTGGAGAAAATTTTGCAGTGGTGTGCTTTCTCCATGTTATATTTCAAACAAGCGTGTTACAATGCTTTTCCAAATTTGCCAGGATATTATCCCAAATTTAGGAGAATCCAGAGAGCTTAACTCCTTTGCCACCCTCGGTCTATTTCCTTTACGCACTACCATCTGTTTCGGAGCCCAAAAAAACTTGCAGTTCTTGATTCTAAAGCAGGAATTCAAGAAGTAGGCCTTAGCAAAGCAATTAGGGAAGAATTCATTCTTTTACATCTCCAACTTGGGGACACTTTGAAAAAAGACATTGAGCTTCTGTTTTTATGCTACAACTAGTCTTATTAGATCCTATGCGATACTTTGGAGTTGACCGCTCTTGACAAGAAAATGTACTCGACAGACTCGCTGCAAAGAAGGACAACGCGGTCATTCATTGAGTTGTGAACAAATTTTTTGTAATTGCAATTTTGTTCGGTTTAAAAAACGTACAAACTACTAAGTCTTGGAAGGAGAGGGGATCTCCCAGGAAAAAAATTGAAGTTAAACTTTTGTTGCACTCAGTGATGATGCTACCGCTTAACACACTATTTTGTCAGACCACCATGAAAGTCAAGTAAATTTTACTTTTAAATGAGTGTCAATCGTGCCGTATACCCAAGTGAATTTTTGCATAATCCTTTGTAACGTATGGTCTAAAAGATATCAGTAACGTGAGCAGGCGTAGAAGAAATACGAAATCGCGAAAACACAACATATTTTGGTCCTTAAATTTTTGTTTTATATTTGCCTTTGAATAACATTAGGACCCAAACGATTTTTATTTTGCCGAAATAGTTTGAAGGAAAGTGAAGGCATTCATAAAGCAGAAGGCGCTCTTAAGTTCCTAACCCATGTTGACTTGGAATTGGTGCGTATCCCTTGTTGCATACCAGTAGACAGGCATTAGACATCCACAGTATTTGTGTTTTTACTTTCCTCCCACCAGCAAAGGTGAGAACAACAACCAATATGGCCACACATTCAAACACAATGACACTTGGCATGCCCCAATCGTACTATTAAATCATTATCAAGCACTCCTCCTTACCTCCTTTCTCACAAATGTGAGGGAAATTTGTCACTCTGCCTTACTAATTAACTTTGAAATTCAGAAGGCAAATAGTTATTCTGTCAAAGTTGAGTGCAACCTTCGTGTTACGCTAATAAGTAAATACTGCATGCTGAAGATGCTGAATTAGCGCCTTTTATTTTAACAATTTGAGTTGATGGACTATCTGCTTTAGTTATCGTATCTTCCAAGATTTTGTTACTTTTAACGCAAATTTTCGCTCTTACCTGGGGATTGAAATTCAGGCATTTCAAAGTCCAAATCCCTAGCTGTCCAGGAGCAATTGAGAAATTGAACCTAGCTTCCATTGCATTACAGGGCGAACCGCCTTCTACGCCTCCATGTCCTAGCTTTTTACACAAACTCTGCACCAACATCAGAAAGGCCTTTTAAATCATGTCCGATTATAAAAAAGTAAAGTTTCAAACCCACTTTGAACTTGCGTATTTTCAAATAGGCAAACGGCAACATGAATAAACAAAGTTGCGGAATGTTCATCTCTAATGTAGACTCCTAGAGAACACTTGTAACCTCCTCAAAAAACTGAGTACTCACGGACGCAACTCTTCATTGTTCATTTTTATTTGCTTTTTGATTGCCTCGTAATAACTTCAGTCGTTCCGTTAAATAATTTCACATTTCCCCTTTCTCTTTAAACGTTTGGTTTGTGCTCAACAGTAGGCACGCTCTCATCATCATCACCATCACCATCACCATCACCATCACCATCATCATCATATGTGCCTTCCAGAGACTTAAATTGCGTTTGCGTTATGTTGCTATAGCACTAGTGCAGGACTCTTGGAATGCTTAATCACATTCGATCCTCACAGCGATTGACAGGACTGGGAGAGGATTTTGACGTAGTGCGGAGATGTAATTGTGGCGACCCACCTCAAAGAATACCAGAACAGTTTTAGTATGATAAACACCACGACTTAAAAGTGTTCAAAGGCAAACACAACCGTTCGAAAACCTCTGGTAAATCCCAGACTCATAGCGTTTCGGTTCTCATCATAGTGTGTCATTGTCTTTTTAACCCTCAATGATTATAATTTGTGACATGATTAAGCGTTTCATTACTTCATATTTGGCGGGATCAACAATGTTTTTAATTACAGGGAAAACCACATCAGCGCAAATTTGATTGTACTACTTTAAAAGTTTCGCCTGTGCTCCGCTAAGCGTAGGCAAGTGGTTAAAAACAGCAAGACATTTCTTCTTTTGTGTCGACTAGAGAGAACACACAGATTCTCGATCTACAAGGCTACGATGCACAGAACCTGGCATGGTGAAGCATCAGCCATCAAGCGGGGCGACGAAGTTGATGCAAAATATCTTTATTAAAATCCCATTAGACAAAACTGGGAAACTAATGTAAAACTATTTTATGTTGTAAAAACCATCAATTTAAATCAGAAAATACTGATTATTCTAGCTTAAGTTCTTTTACGTTTAGGATTATTAGAACTGCTTTATTCAAACTACTGTAAGAGCTGCTACAAGGCATGCTCATTAGCACGCTTGCTGCCAGCGGCACCCATATGTGACGACCCCATTCCCTTATCTAAGCCTAACATCGTAGATGTGAGACATGGGATTCGTTATCGGTTTTTGATGAATAGTTGAGTTGAAAGTAGTAAAGTAGATGTCGGATATGCTTCGTATGAAGATGATAGGTGATTCCCTTTTTTGGGCAGCATTCGAATTGGTGAAAAGATTAGAGATGATCGGTGGCATGTTAGAAGGGTAAAATATCTGTCCAGTGATGATGGACTCTTCTCTGCGACCCTGATGGTAAACATGTCAGTATCTGATTTGAACGCATTAGTTAAGCACTTGGCCGATGGCCTTTAGGTTAAATAGGCTTAATACAGCCTCCAAGAGTAATAAAGTTTTGAATTAAAAGAACACAAAAAAGTAATTGCTAACTTTGGATAGTCGTGACTCTTCGACCTCGCCTCAAACTCCCGTTGATGTCTGAACACACACACACACACGTACGCACAGAACGCATCAAATCACCGCCCTCGTGTGCACATGCATTTCTGGACGCACATACACACGTGCGTGCGTGCGTGAGTGAGTGTGCAGACGGCATGAGTGTACCTCTGCGGGTGCTGCTGGCTTGTGGTAAACCACTGATATGCACACACTCTCAAGCACGGTGTGCAAATGCACGCGCTGTCATGACGACTGCAATGCAGTGCGGAGGCGCGCGTGCCTCGGTGTGTCCACACACGCGCGCGTGCATACATGCGCATATGCGTACACACACAAATGCGACGATGTCCCAGCAGCTGGCACACTCATCCCAACAGCTCCTCGTCCTCCTCCTACTTCTATTGCCCCGCAAGACCTCCTCCTCCCTAATTATATATGACGGTGGTAGAAGACGCGTCCACCTGGCGGAGGTCTCTGTGATGGTTTACGCACTCCTCGTCTGTTGCATCGTATTCTTCATATTTCCCCACCGATGTCATTCCCACTCCCTCACGTTGGACCAGAGACCACGAGGCCCCACCAACAGCCCACTTCGGAAAGTGGATGTATTCACCTACCCCTACTGGCAGCAAAGGCTCTCTTCTCCCTACTCCTGGCTCCCCCGGAGACCTCTGTGGAATCAGCTCGAGGTGCAAAATTGCCGTGAGTACCTGTTTAATGTCAACTTGCGCCTGCTCTTCCTGTTAAAACCTTTATCCAGATCCTGTTTTCCATGCGCTTGGGTTTACGAATTTTAATGACTGCTTGGTTTAACGGAAGTAACTGGTGAGCAAAGTAAGCATGTCATCATGTCATGTGCGTGGGATTTTACGGGATTTTTAGCGTGTAACTGCGTGCACACGTTTCAAAGGGGCAAGCGGTTGCAGTGATTGTGGCCTGCTGCATGAGTGACTGGGTTCGAAAAAGGAAGTCAGTTAAGAATCTGTGTTAAGGCACAATTACAACCATTACCTGCGAAATAAACCAAGGTGGTGATCCAAGGTGGACCGACTTTTCGAGGTAGTGTCCAGGGCCAGTGTTTCAGGTCCCCTATTAAACCGGTTTTGGTTGTATTCTGTGGGTATAAAGCGTTCCTTGCTAACGTAGGAACTGCGTGCATGGCAATTAATCAAAATCCTGCTCTACAACACCCACAACTGCGTCTACATGGTAAGTGATCATACGCGTTGATTTCAAGTGCCGCTGCGACAATGATGGTGATTTTGGTGAGTTTTGAAGGCACCACTTTGGCGGTCCAGGCGTGTTGGGTTACGCTTCTCCCTCTACGTCTCTCTCACTCCACACTCGCTCGATTGCTTGGACTCTCCCATACCAAATTGCAAAGTTATATTGCAAAGCCTGGCAGTACTACCGCGCACCTGCAGCCGGGTGTTTCTACACCTTTAATGCCCTGTAATTGAAGTCGACCTTAGACTTCCAAATTCCACTGAATAGTTGGGAGAATTCTGTCACATCTTGGTGGTGCGTACCATGGTCATGACCGTGATTTATGGCCTCCTCTGTGAGATTGCAATCTATTCTGGCTCGACATTCTGTAAGATTTATTACCTCTCATGATATCATATAAATGACCAAGGTTTTGTATTTCATGAACCCCAATTAATTTTGCTACTCAACCAAAAACCACTGGAGTTTTGTGATGCCCCATTTTAATACAGCATGCCCTAAAACTGTACATGGACGTGGTAAATCCCCCTGTTTGCCATCCCTACCAATATAAGTTAGGTATACGTAAATCGAAACGCTGATGAGCTATAAAGACGGCACCGACAGTTCATGTCAAATAGAACAATGAAGAGCTTTATGGTTTCGTTTCAGCCTTTTAATTTGACACCGGATTTACTGTTTGCCTTTGTTGTTTTATGATACGAAGGAGAAATACCCGAGAAATATAAACGAAAGTAATTCTCGAATACACAAATCCTTTTGGGAGTGTGCAATAATTCAGTTGAAGCCAATGAAAATTAGACGTGTTAAAGTATATTTAATTATGCTATATTTAAAAAGGCAGCAATTGCAAAAAGTTGGAAATCGAGTTAACTGGAAAATTAGTAAAGTGTGACGCTGCTCAGCTGGATTGCTTCTTTCAGTGGCATCATTCATTCTTACTCCCAACTTGCAAAATACCAACCTTTGAAGCCATGGTATTTTATAAAAAAGTGTATTTACTTTTTACGGCTCCAGATTCACTAAGACTAATTATTGCAAGATAAAGTTGAACTTATCTGAAATTAACAAGTTATATTCCATCTATGTGAAGTTTCAGGTTCAGTTCCCAAGGACATTCTGAGCGCAGAAGAAGTTCTAGCCCACGAGCAAGCGATTCAGAGAGCTGCGGAGTCGCAACGATATCTGCGACGCACGCAACGAATTCTCCGACTGCAGCATCTTCAATGGCTGTCCCATCGCGAGTTCCTCGCCTCCTTTGGGAAAGCACCCGAGCGGAGATTTCGCCGACGGTTCGTGTCCGCAGTCACGGAGGGTTTGGGCATGACAACGACAACAAAAATGCTGACAGTAATGGCAAAGATGGAGACAGTACCGCCAGTGTTCTCTGAAACGGTGGCAGCGCCGTCTACTCTTGTGGACACGACAACTTTTACTGTTTCCCCCCCTACCGCTACCATCTCCGACCAAACCTTCACCATCGAGGCTTCTCAGGAAGGGGCACTGGCGACTGTACATCGGTTGGCGATACGGTCGAAAACTATCTTCATATCGAGTGGCGTGATGAGCGCACGCCTTCGCTACTTAATTCAACTGCATCGCACCTTTAGGGGACAGCACAGGCTTCTGGTGGAAGTACGCCTCCATCCACAGTATCCACCTATCTACATTGGGTGAGAATTTAAACTAATGTGTACAAATGTGGTTGCCCGCACTTATCATGATATGTAAAGAGATGATTTATTGTAGGTGATATAGGAAATCATCGATGGCGTTTTAACGATAGTGTCAGAGATTGCGTTGAATCACGGTGCAGTGATATGGCGATTTCCATTAAAATTCCACGTCGAAGACCTCGCTCACATGCATTTGAGTAGCCGTTCTCCTATGATTTGGATAAATCTCCTCAATCTTTGAATTTGATAGATAGCTGATAAATAACTTGATGGTGCTGGTGGTTTTTAATGCGCAACTGCCGAAGTGATTTTTGTTAGAGCTAGAAAATGGACTGGCTTTAAACTTTAGTACATCGGTTATAATCAATGAGTCCGATAACTCCAGTTATATTATATTTAAATCACTATCCACTTTTTTTTTCGATCTCCATTCGGCAGCGAAACAGTTTCTAACGCCGTTCGTGGTTAAAAGTTCCAGTAAGAATAATCTGTCTTGGTTTAAAAGACTACACCGATCTGTCAGGACGTAGCGTCCAAACAAATTGGGGGTTTAGTGCGCGTTGTCAACGCAGATAGAGCAGGTAAAGGGCATTGACAACTGGGTGTGGTGATAAGGCGATCTGCCGACCCATTCTGGGTCTGCAAAACTCTAATAACCCCAGATGGGTGGTCCTGCCTCATCGCAATTACGCAATTAGTGCATGCAGCACGGGAAGGAAGGAGCCTGCCAGCTTCTGTGTTGGGCTGTGCCGTTGCGAGTGTGGGTGGGTGCGCTCGGCCAGGCGGTAGGCACACACCATACACTTATGAATACCGCCAGCCTGGATGTGTGTGCACGCGGGGATAATGGTCTTCTCATGAGAGGTGGAGGGGATGATAAGTGGACGAGTTACTGTGACCTCCAAAAAGGAGATGAACTTTTCCCGATGCCTGACTAAGGGAAAGGCACCCAGTTTCAGGACACGTAGTTTTACTGATGTGGTCTCATCGACACATCATTAGCTGCCTACGACACCTTTTTCCTATTTATGGCACCGTGAACGAACGGCTTCAAGGCAGAAACCTTTCAGAACATTCGCATCTCGGGAAGTACGAATTACACCATGAATGAAAGGCTCATGAAAGTAATTAGAAAAGGCCCTCAAACGGATTGTCTAAAGACGCTGACTGGGACTAGCGTGAATGAACTTTGAAAGGGGGAGAGAAGTCCGAAGTAAGGGAAGCAGTCGAAAATGGTTAGCTGAAAAGCCACAGACATGTTGCCAATGTGACCGAGTGTTCATGTCAGCATTGCATGAACAGACACAGAGGGGATGAGCAAGACGCACCACAGCACATACATGCCAGAGCCTACTGTTCTCCGCCCTTCAATCAGCCTTCTAATCACCTCGCTCGCTTGTGTGTTCGTCCTCGCGTTCGCGACCCCTCACTCGCGATGCGATGCGAGGAGTACGTCCACATAACAAAGGCATGGGATAACGCGGAGCGAGGCCAATTTTTTCGGTGCTGGACGTCTTTTTTCGCGTTGTCGCTGTGGTAGGTCGAGGCTCTATACCCAGGCCACTTTCTGCGCACTGCCAAACGCAAACGACGAGCCGCGCTCGCCTTCTACACATCCCGTGTGCTAAACCAGGCTAATGGATACACGTATAACCTACTGGTCGTTCTTCCGACTCCACTCTCCTCCCATCCCCCTCTCCTTCAGTTCCTAATTCTACAGGTTTCCCATCTAAAGGCCCCTTTAAGGCGCCGGGTGGTGGCTTTGAATAGAGCATTGCATTTATCGGTGGGGAGAGTATGTTTTGAGATAACGGGTTACACTATGTGCCGACAGAATTGGATTCATGTTGATGAGGAGCAGGTGTAAAATGGAAAGTCGTTCCTTCTTCATGCAAAATTAATAAGAGCATCAAAACTTCATTTGTGCTATCGACCTTGGTGAAAAAAGTGTTAATGGCAAGAGAAAATGGTCGAAAATATGTTATAGAATTAGGGGAAGAATCACATACAGACTCTTCCATCTGAACTTTGACTGGAGGCGACAAGATTGCCGTAATAAAATCCAATGTATGCAATACTGGAGTTCTTGAAAGGCTACTGACTGTTGGTTCGGCATTGATGGTGGGTATTGTGCTTGCCGAGTTTTTATCTTCGACAGTTGATATACTGCTGTGTTTACGCTCACAAGTCAATCATGAGGATTTCCTTGCTTTTAATCTGCCCCTGCGCTCTGTTCATTTACTCAACACTTGAGATTAACCAAACTGTTACTTATAAGGCCATGGTCCTCCTTAAACTAGAGCCATGTCACGACTAGGTTGCCAACCGCTTGTTCATTTGTGGGGAGGTTTGGACGGAGTACTGACCTGACATAATAAGGTACTTGCGGATGAGCGGTGACTCGGAGAGGAGCCAGCCCAACTAGGTGGGCGCGATGTGAATGTGCGCTAGTCAACCACCGGCACCACCACCTACCGCAGCGATATGATTTACCTGTCAACACCCCACTTGTCTGCACTCATGTCACCCTCCTCCGCATACGCGTCCGCTACCTTGTACACACCACTGTTTAGACCTCCCACGACGCCATTGACGACTGCCGTGCAAAATCAACCAGCCTCCCTCCACCCATTACCTCTTCTCCCTACAACGTGGGTGGTCCGAACCTATGTCTGCTCCAACGTCGGTTTCCCTTGATTTCCGCAAAAGTGAAGTTCGACACTTACTGAAAATTATTTCAGTACGGTATCCTATTCTTCTAAGCCATCCGATCCAAAGTCATCTAGCTTGCCAGTGTCGTGGCAGCGGTGGTGACAAGCCGACTTGTATGCTTAATGTTTAACCAAAAAGAACCAAGCAAAGTGCCAGTTTGCGGTTTGAAAAAAAAGTTGCGTTCTCGACGGCCTAAATAATTTGAAGTCCCTGTCCCATTTCAGAACTTACGATATTGCTTTACATCGAATCAAAAAAATACTTTTAAGTAAAAAAAATAGCTAGTGACTTTCATTAAATGGAATTACTTGATTTGGATTAGGGGTTTTGAGCATCCTTAAGAATGCAATAACATTTCCACCTGACTGCGAGTTGAATTGAACGGCGGTTTTTGTCGCAGGACTGTGGAGGATGTTTGCGCCTACTGGCCAGCAGATGCTCCCGGTTCCGGGTGTTCCCCAAGGAAGCGGCGCTTCTACCAGAAGGGGCGCATTTGCCTGTGCCACATGCCGCCTGGTATCTACCACCAACGCCTTAAAATCAACTTCAGGGACGTCTTTGAGGGCGCTCAGATTTCTCAGTTCCTTATCAACATTCTCTTCTCTGGGCAGGTAGGCGAACCCACCGTCTTATCTCTAGTCATGTTCGATGAGAATTGTTTTGGCCACGAAAACTAACATAATGTAGGATGAAACCGTTTGCCTAGTTTGCCTAGTTTTAATGTTGCCTATCAATATGGGGAAAAGGAAGAAAACGCAATGTAACCAATTTTGGTGCAAGCTTTTGTGAAATGCAACCACTACGGAAAGTGGCCCGCTACTTGAAATCGGTAACTCAACTCGTCGTTTGTCGCTAACAACAGAGTGCTTGTATGGTGTTTTAAGGGGTTACAAATCATACATGGAGTCAGAATTCGACTGAGCAAACTAGGAAAGAGACGTTATGCTGAGCAAACTAAGGTGGAAAAAACTCATTCATGTTTAAGATTAAGCCATTTAGCTAACTCATGTAAGTGGGAGACAACTGTATGCATCCAACGATGACGAGTACTTACATGAAACTATTCAGACTTATTTTATGGTGATTTTATTGCTCCATTTTAGCACCTAAATTTGTACGTGACAGTGCAGTTGATATCTGCAACTAACACCACCGTAGCCTGCTCGCGGTCAAAGATACCAGTCTCCTTCTCATCGCTTTAGTGGGAAGGACGATTACACGCCAGCCACTCAGTCCGGTCACTGCGTGAGGGAAATGTTCACATTTTTGCAAAACGGAGGTGCGTCGGGTGAACGCATGAATGTGATGGTTGAGGTGCTCAAACACGCAGCCGCGCGCTCACCCCGCGGACTTATTTGCTTTCCACCGCCCTACCAACTCACTCTAGAGTTCTCTCACGCTGCCAGCATCGACACTGTACATAGCCCCAAACCGAACTACCTCCGTTATGTATAGAAGCAAGTATGTTATCGCGCCCGCTACGTGTTTTGCATTTCAAACCCCCACTACCTTGCCGGTGAGAGCTCTACGACTGCTCAGATGTTTTGTGCGACCTTACTTCGACAAATTAAAGATTTCTTTTTTTCTAAAGCTCCGGCATTTTGAACTTAAAAATGCAGGTACACGACTGATTATGATATGAACTTGGATTCGCACCTCGACACGATAGCGGAGCAGTAAGTGGGGAAGGCTTTATGGAGGCACAGATGTGACAGCGCATATAACACGACGAGCCAGTGCGGACGGCATTGAAAATGCTCGTACAACCTGCACTGACACGATTTCCATATGGTGTCGTTAACACAAATATCGAGACGGAGGAACTTCTCCCTTTCAAGACGTTAGATGCGATTTGGGCACGTACCAACTGGCCCTAGAAATTTGTGCTGTTTACGGCGCAGCTCGTTGCAGTGACGTATGTAATTTGTGGGGCCTCGTCAAATGCATGCGATTGCCGGCGTGCATGTGTTACAGGGCCAGCACTGCAGCGTCGGCCCAACGACACTCCTCACCCAACTCTGCAATAGCCCTTATTTTGAACCTTCATCAAATGTCAATCAGACCTGATGGATGTGATTAGAACTTGTGAGCTTTACAAACCAAAATTAACTCAGTTCCAAAGCTATAGAAGTTTCCTGGCTAATCAGTGTGGCACTTGGAGAAGATACAGTAGCAGAACATGCCGTCCGAAAGTGACTGAAGCAACTTGATTGCGGTGACTCGAATCCTCTACTCTTGGTCACGAAGAATAGAGAATCGTTTCACTGTAGCTTAAAATAAAGGATCCATACAGCACCAGCCCTCATACCGCATGAGAAGTAGGGTCCGGAAATAAGCGTGTGATAAAAACAGGTGAAGAGAGCTAGGTTTCGTGCTCCTAGAGAGACGTGCTTGAGAAAAGTAGAACTAGTAGGCAAGCGTCTAGTTAGGGAAGGACTAAAGACTCTAATGACAATTATTTTAATAAGCAAAATATTTCAAGACTTTTGTGGTTATTTAATTTTACCTATGCAAACCCCACAAACTCATTTGATTACCTTACACCAATCCTATCCAGACGAACTAAAGGGGAATAGGATTTACACCAGAGGTACACAGTAAATAACAAAAAAATAAATAATGGCAGGTTTAATGACTAACAAATTTCGAGAAATTCTACTGCGATCGGTCCCAGTATGCGAAAGTATGAGGAAAATCAGTGACATCCCAGAAGTGGCATGTAGGAGACCCAAACTGGCAATCGGTAAAGGTGCATAACAAACAACGACCAAGGAGTTTTCAAGCTAACAAAAGTGACAACAGCAACGATGCGCAGACTTGGGCCTCTGTGAATTCTAACAACTTGGTAACCGTGACAGACGACTGACTCCACAGACTGCACTGCCCACGGTAATTAGGATTAACATTTGAATAAGAGCACCAGCAACTGACAAGACTTGAGGAAATAAACAATGATTACATACGTCCCACGATAAAACATTTCCAGGCTTATCTATTCTTCTATTAACTTGATAAAGTAACTCAGGTTTTGCGACACTGATTTGGTAACAAATGCTTATACCCAAACGAATGAGAAAGGGAAAAGCAAATAATCGGGTGGAGTATCACGAAGTAGCAAACGCGGGAAAAATAAGAACAGAGTAAGTGGTAAAATCTGCCGTTACAAATACAATGCATCTGAACGTGGGCTGAAGAAGGCTGTTGGTCAGAGATCGTTGAGTGTTTCGTTGGTCAACATTGGAATAGTTATGTCTAAAAGATCAACAATGAATAACTTATTTATTATTGCGTCTTATCTAAACGATGTGAGCAGTCGATGTCAAGAAATGCCTACTGTCTTATAACTTAAGTGAGCGGCTTGACGATTCTCACCAAAGTGGTTTTCAATTTGTTGGAGCAAATTCTCGTCGGCAGGACCAGCGAAGTTTATGGCCAGACCGCCTTTGCCAAAGCGACCGGAACGGCCGATGCGGTGAAGGTAGGTTTCGCAGTCCACCCGACCCTGCCTGTCCAGTGGCAGTCGCCAATTTATAACCAAATTGACCTATCGTCCCCCGCAAAGGCGGAAAAAGAAAAAAAATTGCGAATCATACGACTGCACCCGACCATCACAGAGTCGATTTCAGCACGAATAAAACTGTACACTATCTAACCAAATGGGTTTTTAGCTAAGCTGATGGATGCATAAACCACCTTCCCTAGTTGTCAAACCGACCACAAAGTGTGTGCACCAAGAAAAGCGTAAAACCCAAGTGGATAAGCGTTGCTTTCACAAAAATGTGAGGGGAAAAAGTGACTGAACATCAAAATCAGCTAAACTCAAAAGTTGATGTTTCAGACACTACAAATCGGCACAATGTAATCGAATATTAATCAGTGCAAAATCGCTCAAACGCTTTAAGATTAAAAGTTATTCATGAAATTGGAGGCTACACACCTGAGGAACATCAAGGCCACGGGAGCAGAGGTTTGTAGTGATGAGAACGCGGAAGTTGGCTTTGCGGAAGTCTTCAATTACAGCTTCGCGTTGACGCACATCCAGCTCGCCGGAGAGGAGGACCACCTTGTGACCGTCGCGGGTCATTTGACGCTGCAGCCAACTAGCCTCCCGTCGAGTCTAAAGTCACAGCAAAAAGTGTACTGCACAGAACCCTCACTTGAAGGCTATTACTCTTGAATCTGGTAAATCTAACGTGATTCAACATAAATCAATTGAAATGATTACAACCACGACTCAAAAGGGCGCAATGGTAAGATTCTCGAATGGGGAGAAGAGCGCGAAAGAGCAAGACCCATACCGCACAGAAGATGATGGCCTGGCCCACGTGGAAAGAGCCATAAATCTCGCTGAGACGATCGTACTTCTCCTCTGTAGTGGGGGCGAAGAGGTAGACTTGCTTGATATTGGTCAAGGTTAGCTGATTGCGCCGCACTCGAAACTCTACTGGATCAGGGATAATGGTTCTAGCAAACTCAATCACTTCCTCGTCGTAGGTAGCCGAAAAAAGGAGGAGTTGACAAGTTTTCGGTAGTCTCCTAACAACAAGACCACACTTCACATTTTTTGGAAAGCTATTGCTGCCAGGTGTTAGTAATTGACCATATCGTTGAAACAAGGCGCAAACTCGACTAAAGTTGAATATAGACAACTAGGAGAGGAGAGAGTATCGAAATTGTGGTAACGATGAAATTAGAGACACTTAAATCATCAGGCGTTCTAATAAAATGGAGCCGATAATAGATAAAGGGAAAAAAATTCAGGTTGAAAATAGCGGTCTGGAAATTCCAAATACCCAGTGATGTAAGTTTGCTTTGTTTTCACAATGATCACAAAAGTGTGGATGAGAAACAACATCTAGGTAAAGTAATTGGAAGAGTGAGGAACCGTTGGTTTCGACCATAAAATATCAACTTACTGCACAATCCTTCTGGAAGTGTGCAAGAAGCCAGACTCTTCCATCATTATGTCTGCCTCGTCAAGGACGAACATCTGCAGGGCGTGGGGATCGAGACGATAGGGGCCTGTCCCTCGCATCCACAACGACACTGTACCCGCCGTACCAATGACTATCTGACTCTTGACATAGCCGTCCTGATCAACAGCGGCTAAAACGAAAAGCAAATCGGAGTTGTGGAGAAAAAGGTAGTCAATGAGTGTGAAAAAACGAAATCTGCGTCTTAGTGAACTGCTAAAACTGGAGTGAAAGCACAATAATGACGTGTTTCGATCAAGATAGGAGATTAGCGCACAAAACGGCACTCTGACAGCGCGCTATATCCAGTCCTTCTAGGAGGCACTCACTTTTTAGGATCAGTTGTATCTTTGGCTACTAGTAAATTTTAGTAACTGTAGATTAGTCGTGCAGCACCGCAGTATATTTTTTAAAAGTTTAAAACAGGACAATAAAATATCCAACATACTCAAAAGTATTAAAAGTGCCATCTAAAAATCTTCTAAATATTGCTAATGATATCATCGCAGCTAACATGTTTTTTTCCAGTTTCTTTTGAATCTGGAGAGCTAAACCGGTATTTCAAACCACATCTCCGATGGGATGAGAGCAGCAGAGGCTTGGGTAACTGTACACACTTTTGAGTGTGAAGGCTTAATAATGGAGGTGCAAAAAGCGGTAAATAGCAAAGAACATGCTGTTAAATGAAGACGTGGAGAAAAAAATGGAACCGAACAGAACAATTGATGATAGCCAAAACATGGCTGGTAGTGCGATTGGGAGTGGCAACTGCACAGCCACTTACCCAGCTCCCTTGGTTCTTCATAGGTATAACAATCGCCAGATGCATCTGCTGTAAAATTCACACAATTCAAATCAACGAGCTAAGCGAGTACAATATACAACCCTTACGTAGGTTTTTGTCGATTTACATTTGGATTACTCTAGAAGCAATGAAGAACACGCTTAGGCTGCATTAGGGTACCAAACTATTTAAAATTACTACGTTTGCGAATACCAGCAAAGAGATTTAAGCATTTCCAAAATGAATAGATACTTATTGCCAGTACAATCGACGACTATTTAGAAGTACCTGTCCGCTTTTTGAAAGGCGGATACATTGCTTATCATATACAGGTGTAGAAAGTCTGCGAAGATGAAACATTTGTCAAACCGGATTATTTGAAACTAATTTGAATCAAAATCATGGAATCAAATCAAAATAGACAGTAATATTTTTGGAATGTCAACTGTGGTGAATATAGGCAGAAGGCCACGTTGATTAAAGCGTAAGCAGACGAATGACTGGCGACAAAGAGCGCGTAAAAGTCATTAACGGCATGAGGATTCCTTAAATAACGACAGTCAGAATTTTAAACCAGTGATGGATCATTTTTTGGAGGAATCGTGGGAATTGCCTAAGGAGACGACTTATACTTACGGATTTCTTCTCTGATAGCCAGACCAAAAGCGATTTTTGGGATAAATCGAGACATTTCTCGGCCAACAGTGGCTATCTGTATGGCTAGTTCGCGAGTAGGAGCCATACAGAGACACTGGCATCGCTCGAAGGTGATATCAACGCGACTCAGCATTGCTAGGAGGAAAGTGGCGGTTTTGCCAGTGCCCGACTGCGCTTGAGCAATCATATTGCGTGGACTAATTATAGAAAATAAGCAAGTATTTATCGGGCAAATATTTGCAACAGAAAAACCTCAGAATGTCGTAGGGGAGGTGATACACTTTAAGTGCAAACGTACCTGTCACCGATCAGGTAAGGGAGGGCTTTTTCCTGAATGGCTGATGGCTTGTAAAATCCTAATGCTGCAATACCCTTTAAAAGTCGAGGATCCCTGAATACTTAGCAAAATCAGGAAAAAGAAAGCTAACAATTTTAAATCCTGGAAGGTTTTAACTGAGTGCAGTGGATTTGATGGATCTTCCCGTAACATTTCGATATCGCTAGCTTGCGTCTCCACAAGTTTTGTGTTGAGAAGTTTATTTATGTATGATTTCTCTGCCTTGCTAACTTCATTGTCAGTTCTATCGCTAGGATCATCATTTGGGCAACGCAAACGAGAGGAATCGGAAGAGTTTGCGTCAATTGCGGGGGACGCCAGATTTTCAGCAGCTTGATCTTGACTTAATGATGAGATGGGCTGGACACCCTTACCGATTTCCTTAAGCTCCGCTAAGAGGTTTTTCCATTGTTCGCTCTCTGTCATACTAAGGTCTATAAAAGAGAACACACAAAGTGAGCGGCATGAAAAGGGCTTATACAAGTTGTATAAGACAAAATATAGAAATTGCTGCGTTAAGGTATCTGTTTTATGAAAATGGGAACAAGGTTGAGTACGCAGGAAAGGAACAAGGCATTTGGTTAGAACCATGTGGTCTGATCAACTGACTGTTGAGCGACATTAAACTAACACATTTTTAACCGCGTATTTGAAGGGATAATTAGACAGATCGGCCCAGTTTAAGACATTCCCTAGATTACTCATTAACATAGCCATAACAGTTGCCAATAAAGGACAGATTTCACGGGATATTTAGCACAGCACCAAAAATGTATACGAGGCTACCACACCACGCGAAAGCACAGAGGCAGTAACCAATAGGAGCACTGTATAACAGACCCGAAGTAGCGGCTAATTAAAATACCACACTTTTCATAACTTAAACGATAATTGCAAAAGATCGTTTTGTGTTACAATTAGGGACGCTTTGAAGATAGCCTGCGTCAGATGTGTGGTTCTGATGGAGTGAAAGTCTTGGATCCTAAAAGTCAACATGACTTGTAGGATTTGATTGAGAAAGAATATGCCGATAATCATGCCTTATTAACTGCAATACACTTCGTATTTAAAGCAAAATTATAGATGAAAAATTCAGTGTGTGAAATTACTCTAGGATCTCCCAAAATAATTTCGCTTTCTTTACTACAATCTATTTGATGGGGAACTACTTGTAATACGATAGTGGTTTATCCCTCGGTTCTGTGAGGCGCCACTTTTGTACTTTGAGTTAATCCCCTTGTACCTCGCTGGGTGGACTGGCCTTTTGGGCCATGCCAATACCCCAGACACCTTCTCCGTGCTGAATATATGTATTCTGCCCGAGTATTGTGTCTTCTTTCGTCTTAGGGGAGTCTCGGGACGCTACATTGGTGGCAGCGGAAAGCGAACCCAATCTTAAAAGACATGTATTCTGGTTTTCCACTTCTGCATAATAAGCCTTAGTGGAGCGGAAGAAGTACATATGCTACGGATGGGAGGATGGTGATGACCTTTAACAGAAGGGTTGATGTTGACGTCTACCTTCAGCATCTCTCCCAGTCCCGTGTTCTGCAGAAAAGCTATTAACAACTGAAGCGACACTAGCCGTGAAACATCTGGAAGTTTCGTTACGGATTTTCCCTACCGTCCCCCATGGACCTGTTTTAAATCTTGTACTTCCTTACTCAAATCTGCTTTTAGGCCAGTGTTCCTGCATCTATCTATGGACACGCATGGTGGCCGACGCAGTTCCCCATCCTGGATCAAATCCCTAAACTGGACGAGACCCCAGATCCAGTTAAGCTGCCAAGAGGGATTAATGACGTTGAGGTCAAGTATCCCCTCAGTTGCACGCTAATTTGGTGACTGGCACGGTCGGCTCGTGGGTGTTTCTTTACTGCGCCGACTGCGTTGTAATGGCTGACGCGGGAGGTTGACCTGTGGGAGCGCCGGGGACGACGCTCAAAAGAGGAGGGAGGCTATGTAATACGATAGTGGTTTATCCCTTGGTTCTGGTGAGGCGCTACTTTTGTACTTTGAATTAGTCCCCATGTACCTCGCT